TGCACTTCTTCCAGGACAGATTTGTTCATTCTTCCGGCAGTCCATGGTACTTTCAGTGTTCTTCACCAATTCCGGCTGCACTTCTTCCAGGACAGCTTTGTTCATTCTTCCGGCAGTCCATGGTACTTTCCGTATTCTTCACCAATTCTGGCTGCACTTCTTCCAGGACAGATTTGTTCATTCTTCTGGCAGTCCATGGTACTTTCAATATTCTTCACCAGCCCCACAACTCAAAGCATCTTCTCTGGTCTTCCTTCCAGCTTTCACATGCAAATGAGGCCACTGAAAATACCATGGCCCGGGTTAGACACAGCTTAGTCTTCAAAGAGATATCTTTGTCCTTCAGCACTTTAAAGAGGTTTTTTTTTTGCAGCAGATTTGCCCAGTGCAACAAGATGTCTGATTTCTTGACTGCTGCTTCCATTGGTGTTGATTGTGGATCCAAGTAATATGAAATCTTTGACAATTTCAATCTTTTCTCCATTTATCATGATGCTGTTTATTGGTCCATTTGTGAGGATTTTTGTTTTCTTTATTTTTATGTCTCCATACTGCAGACTGTTCTTTAATCTTCATCATTAAGTCCTTCAAGTCATCTTCACTTTTAGCAAGGAAGGTTTTGTCATCTGCGTATCACAGGCTGTTAATGAGTCTTCCTCCAATCCTGATGCCATATTCCTCTTCATATCCAGCTCCTCGGATTATTTGCTCAACATACAGATGGAATAAGTAAGATGAAAGGATACAACTCTGACATACACCCTTCCTGATTTTAAACCATGCAGTATCTCCTTGTTCTGTTCGAACGACAGCCTCCTGGTCTATGTGCAGGTTCCTAATGAGCACAATTAAGTATTCCACAATTCCCATTCTTCTCAATGTTATCCATAATTTGATATGATCTACACAGTTTAATGTTTTTGCATAGTCAATAAAATACAAGTAAACATCTATCTGGTATTCTTTGCTTTCAGCCAAGATCCATCTGACATCAGCAATGACATCCCTTATTCCACGTCCTCTTCTGAATCCAGCTTGCATTTCTGGAAGTTCTCTGTCAATATACTGCTACAACCATCGTTTAAATTATCCTCAGCAAGATTTTACTTGCTTGTGATATTAATGATATTGTTCGATAATTTCCACATTCTGTTGGATCACTTTTCTTTGGAATGGGTATAAATATAGGTTTCTCCAGTCAGTTGGCCAGGTAGCTGTCTTCCACCACTCGTCTGTCAATTTGTTGTACTGTGGTGGCTTGCATGTTGCTGTGAGGCTGGAGGCTATGCCATCAGTATCTCAAATACCATTAGGAGTACCCATGATGGACAGGTTTCAGCAGAGCTTCCAGACTAAGACAAACTCAGAAGAAGGAAGGGACCATCCACTCCTCAAAGTATTGGCCAGTGGAAACCTAATGAATAGCAGTGAAACACTGTCTCATATTATACCCACACTTAGAATAAGTGTTTTAGACATGTGGCCATGCTCTCCAAATTCAAAACTACCTGAAAATTCCAAACATGAGCTACAGTGGAACAAAATATTCTCAATCAGAATTGTCTAAGAAATCAAAAATTTCTGGTAGCCACATCTTCAGAACTTTTACACTGTAACCCATTAAGAGAGTTTGATCAAGTTCACTCAAAGGAAACTGACTGCCAAGTTGTGAAGAATTGAGCTTAGGATGAGGGAAAGGTAGCCAGGAAACCAACATGAGCTGGCCTCCATCAAAATACTGGTGCTGAAGTGTGGTTAGACCTGTTCATCTGAAAAACAGTTACTGATGCCACCAAGTGCCAGGCCTGTCCACATATGTGCCTTCTCCGATTGTGCCATGGCAGGGTAGAGCATGTAAATGACTCCATCCTGAGTAACCAAGTTGTCAAAGAAAGATCAGCCAAGGGGCCAACATGTTTCCTGCAGAGGAAGTATGCAGCAGTGTGAAGGATCACTTTTTTTAAAAAAATTGTGATTTGGGTGAAAGTTTACAGAGCAAATTCAGTTTCCATACAGCAGTTCACATATACTTTGTCTCAAAACGTTGTCTACAATTTACCCCAACACAACAGCTCCCCTCCCACTTCTTCCTGATAGTAGTTACCTCTTCCCTGTGTCCATCCTTCCATGCACTCCTGTCCCCTGAGCTATCTCCCTGTGTATGCACAGTCCTTCTTTCTCCCATGATTGTTCTCTCCGAGGAGTGTATCTACCTTGGATAAATGTTCAACTCATATGCCTGTCTTTTGTTTGACTGGAAGCCACAGGAGTGGGTTCAATTCCAGACCTGAAGGACAGCTACAGGCAGGCCATAGTCTCAGGGGTTCCACCAGGCTCTATCAGACTAGCAAACCTGGTCCCTCCCATTTTTATTATTTTTCCCCAAATTATTTTGAGTTTTGTTCCACATTGTTCTCCCACTCTATCCAGGATATCCTACATAGATCCCTCTCCTAGTGGTTGACAGTGGTAGCTGGGCATCATCTAGTTCTTCTGGTCTCACAGTCGTATAGGCTGAGGATCACATGGTATATCAGTCACTAGGATTAATTGTTTCCATGAACCTTTGGTTTTCTTCATTCTTCTTTGCTCTGGACAAGGAGAGACCCATCGTTGCATCTAGATGGCTGCTTGCAAGCTTTTAAGATCCCAGTTGCTACTTGCCAAAGTAGGAGGTAGAACAATGTTTTGTATAGTATGTTATGCCAATTGAGCTTGATGTCCCCTGTGACTATGGTCCTGAGCCCACAGGTTCAACTACTTACTCTCTCCGGATAGCTGGCTGTGGCCAAGAAGTGACTACAATCGTGTCCCCTGTCAGCTCTACTATACACCTGGGATTTCTTACAGATCATACAAATACACTTATGGGACCACTGTCTGACAACTCTATACATGGTCTTTGGTACACTCCCCACTGCATAGACATACCTAATAGCTCAGCCTGTCCACCCATCTATCTACCCATATACCCATGTTTGCCTTCACTGACAACACAGTACTGTATGTGCAGAAGGGTTCATCTTTGTTGTCTGTACTTCCCATGTACCTCTCTATGTCTTTCTCTTCTTCAGTGCCACCATGTTGATCACTCATATTTGGTACATTGCCATTCTCTTCACCCAAATCAATTCTTATCTCTATCTAACTGTTTTCCCTTGTAACCAACAAAGAAAATTTCCCTTGTAACCAACAAAGAAAATTTCCTTCCATATGTAAACCTTCCCTTGACTTTTAAAATAACAGACTAATACAGCATTTGTCCTTCTGTGATTGACTTATTTCACTCAGCATAATATCCTCCAAGTTCATCCACTTTATGTGGTGGTTTGCAAATTCTACATTTTTCTTTAGGGCTGCATTAGTATTCCATTGTGTGTATGTACCTGAAGGATAAATTTTATATGGCCTTTCTCACCATGGTTTAATATCCACCAAATGATTGCATGTGACTATGCAAATGAGGTGCTTGTGGCCCACCAAGGGGAATGGATAGCTTGCTAATAATGCAAATAAGGTGCATGGCACCCTTGTGAGGGGTGAGACCATGCCAATAAGATACGTTGTTGTTGTTATGTGCTGTCCAGTCGGCCCTGACTCATAGTGACCCCTCCTTGGGTTTCCAAGGCAGTATCACTACGTAAGTAGATTGCCCCATCTTCCTTCTGAGGAATGGCTGGTGGATTTGAACCGCCAACCTTCTGGTTAGCAGTCAATGGAACCCTAAAGAGGAGATTAGTCAGTTTTACTCCCTAGGCTTAAAATGAGCCCTCCCAAAAGCAGAAAGTGGGAACCTTACTACCACCAAGAAGAGACATGAGTAGAATGTGTACTTTGGACAAGGAACCCTTGTGTTGAGAACTTCCTTGAACCAGAAGACAGAGAGAGAAAGTTGTAACACTGGAGATGGCACAAGACAGGGTGAAGCAGTGGTGGAGAAACAGTGGTAGCAGAAAAGAAGACCAGCATGAGATGGCACAGTGGTCTTCCCGGCCCATGGAGCCACGGGGTTACAAGGGGTGTGCCAACCCACAGAGTGAGACAGCTGAGCACCTTCGGGCAGGAGGCTTCCTGGTGGAGTAGGGTGCCCCTAGGTACTTATTGGTGGAGCTAAAGGGCATTGTAACACTTGCCCAAGCAAGGCAGAGGGTGGGCAGAGAAGCTGAGGGGCCAAAGGCCAAAAAGAGGCCTGCCTGTGGGCACAGCTGAAAAGAGGCTATCCTCATCAAACAGTTATGTCTTCAGTGTTCCTGAACCTGACTTGTAACCTGTGACTTCCCTAATAAACTTCATTATTGTGAACATGGTCTGTGAGTTCTGTGTGACCACTGCAATGACTTATTAAACCCAGCAGAGAGGGAGAGAGCACTGTGGGAAGGACGGCTGGTGTCAAAATTGGTAAAAAGTTTGGACAGAGGAGCTAAGTCTGACCTCCACCTCATAGGAATTAGCCTTGGGCTGTTGGTTTTGATTCTCCTTTCCCCTTGTGACATTAGAGGAGGTCAGACTCCCAGTCACACCATTTTAATATAAGGCCAATGATATCACAGAGGTTCCAAATGAGAAGTGGTAACTCCTGCAGTCTTTCTCTTATACACATCTCTGGGCCTCCGGCAGACCAAGACAACCACACGTTTCAAGCGGAGGCAAGCAGGCTACTGTCTGGACTAAGCCCAGCCTCCGTGGCTCACTGCTCTCCTCAGCACGTGCACAGTCTCCTTGTGCTCGATCCAGGTCTTTTCACCTGGGTATATGTCACACCAAGTAAGTGGTACACTGCCCTTGTTTTAATAACCATTCCTTTTGCTCCCTTTCTTCTCCTGCCTCCCTGGTGGAAAGGGGGTTAAGGGAGCATGATCTATAAAACCCAGCAATGGCCCAGCACACAGCACGTACACAAAACCCAGCAATGGCCCAGCACACAGCACGTACACAAAACCCAGCAATGGCCCAGCAC